ACAAATGATACATAGAATCTGAGTAGTCATTTAGAAGTATATTTTCGAATGTAACCCTCCAACAATTGAATGTGAACATCGTAGTCGATAGGCATCAAATCAAGAACACTCCAACGCATTTTTGACACCTTTTTGCTTGATAACATTTTTTGATTGGAATTGTTATCACTGGAAGGTGCTGAATGTTGTTGTTGTTGCAGTTTGGAAACATCTTGATTGCGTGAAACAATACGAAATGAATACGTTTTGAAAAGTGGCTTTCTGAAATACTCTGAGTACGCATCGGGATTGTACTTACGAAGCTTAGCGAGCTCATCGGCAGATTCACCCAATAATTTCTTCGCACATTCATCGAACACACTCGCCCAGTGACTGCCACTCATGTCTGCGAATTCAACCTGAATCTTATGTACTATCACAACAACAAATCTCAAAGTGCAAACATTTCTAAAAGTTCTCTTTCTGATTGAAAACAACGATACCTCTTATTTTTCAACACTAAATCAAAATTTAAAAAATTTCATTCAAGTTTCGTGAAGAAAATTTTTATAAATTCTTACAAAATCTAACACAAAAATNCATTTCATTTGATCACCGTCCACTTCGATCAATTTCTTACGACAATTTTCATTCGCACAACCCTTAATAATAGTGAATGAAATAATAAGCAACGTTGCTTCGAATAACAACGAAGAACGATTCGGATAACAGACTTTATACAATTCGCTTCAAACAACAACAAATATCGAGCATTCATTAATCAACCTTATAAAAAGCCGTATCAAAGTTGATGTTTATAATCATTGCCGTAATATTAAAATATGATATGTTATCGCTCCCCTTCACTTCTCCAATCCATTTATGCTCATTTGCTGAAATTGCATCAAACCTTTCATCGATGACGTCTACTTCGACAGAGCTGATGAAAAAACGATGTATGCAAATCATTATTCAAACCGACTTACAAATCATATATAAAATCTTCAAATTTTTCATCTCTTCAGAACACAACCTCAGAGATTTTAATTGAGTGCATTCAAATTTTCATAGGAATGAAAGTGTGTGCGGAGTATTAAACGCACATGAACGAATGAGTTGATTTGAAAGCGATAGGAATGAAGCGTCT